CAGAAATTTTAGTTTGGTACTTGCAAGGATGCATGCCCTTGGTTTACCTATGGTAGCTCCACTTACCAATATATGCTCTGCTGGCCTCAGTCCCCTATCACCCAAGGCTCCTGTATGAGGCCTATGTCTGCTGCCCCTTTTGATGGCTGGAGCAGCAATGCAACTGATGCTGCTTCACTATGATGGAGGTTTATCTGGACGACACGCACCTTCCCGCCCCCTCCTTCAGAGTTGAGTTTGCCTCGTCACCTGACATCAGCTCCTCTTCTGTGTATTGCCGAAAGGCGAATTCAATCTCCAGCGAGGATGTAGATGAGGCATAACCGCCAGCCAGTTCATCCATCGGATTGGCCTGGTTGGATTCCTCGTCCGTTTTCTCCTCACTGTTGACCTCTTCCGGCTCAACGTCTGCCATGATTCTTGCGGCGTTCAAATCATTTGCGTATACACGCACTTTAATGGTGTAAGCCATATTTAATTACGCCGCCGGTTCGTTCCTCATTCAGTATCAAAACCACCTGACTCGTCGCTTTGGCGCCGGGTTCCAGGCGAACCACCTTCCAGTGGGAGGCTAAATTGGGGTTAAAGAGCCATATAACCTCGAGCAGCCTCTCTGGTTTAGTTCGTTTTGCTGGTATCCATGCCCTCGCTCTTGGACTAGATGGGATGTCTTTCAGGTCCACGGCCCGTAGCATCGCTCCGAGATAGACCCCTCGCAATCTGACAACTGCCTTCCTTTAGAGTTCCGCAGACCTCTCGTCATCGCACGCGACTACTCTTATATTGCTTTGGAACCAACCTGTATCCTAGCATGACGGAGGTGGTCCGGAGTTCTACCGCAGCACACTGGCGGGGATATTAGCCATTTCCGCCTTTACCCATTTCCAATGGGCTCCTCCTCCAGATTTTCGTCCCGAGCCCCAAGGAGAATCCGGTTCCCTGCTACTTCAGCAAACGAGGGGCCTTTTGTTCTTGACCTCTTTGGCTTACTGCACTCACTTATAAAGCTAAGTTCAGCGATAAGTACGAAAAAAGTTGCAAACCAGTATTTGGACCAACCCAGTTTTTTAGTTTAGTTAACTTTACCTGATGAACGTCTCATTAATATTCTAATATTTTTGTACTGTCACATCGGTAATGTATTGAAAAATTACGAAATAGTAAATATATCATATCGTCGCTTCCAAATAAACATTTCTGTTAAGTCTCAATATGAGATGCATTTGTGAATCAGTCCTTTTCTCAAATCCCAAACTTTACTTCTCAAATGCATCTCAAATAACCATTGATAGCGTTCTCAAACTAAAAGACACCTTTATCTCTGGTTGCCCCTTAATTTTGCGCGCCTGTCAATGACACTTTTTGGCTTCACACTTCAAGCTGACTGACTGAATGACACTACAATATGCTGTGAGTTATTGAAAAGAATATAATAAAAAAAATACCTTCACTATGCCACACAAAGTGCACAAATACTTAAGTACATATTTAGTAAGCTTAAAATCCCAAACAAAGAAATCCACACAAAATTGACAATCGCAGCAACAAAAAAATTACTTGAATGGCACTTGAAATGGAAATTATCCCCGCAACAAGGACACCCCCCTAACGAGCACACTCGCATTGAATGTCCTTACATTCCTGCTGCTGGCAAAAATAATGATAACAAAAACATTAACCCTCAAAACTTAGCAAAAATAACCAATAAAATAAACAATTTTCTTATGCACTCGTGCACTCGTGCAGCAGCATTTCACGAACTCGAGAGTCTTGTGCAAACACGCAGTCACGACAAAAGCTGCTGAGTGCCACTTCAGTGGCCACCCTACTCAACTTTTGGCTGGGCTTAGATATCACATACCTTGGTTTAGGTATTGACTGCCACTGTGCACTGAGCTCTCGTATGTGTAGAAAGGTACATCCTTATGTTTATTTTGACTGAACACAAATTTTGTTATTCGTCTGTTGACACTAAATCGCATGTTAAGTGTAATTTTTACCTCAATCAAAGCACTTCGAGAAGAATTCTTGGCGCTGTTATTACATGCTGTACAGATACGAGTATTTCAAAAGTGATGTATAAATAATCCCTGTGGAAAACTCACGCCGCGCGCTGAAACTTGTGGGGGTGCCAGGATACTGTGGTGATCAAGGCAACGAACTGACTAATGAAGTGGCGAAGTGCAGTTCGTTGAAGCGTCCCATTGAACCAGAACCAAAGCGGGAACATTCGGATATATCGAGAATGTCTTTAATGAAGCTCATGAGAGTCATTGGTATAGTACTGAACCCGCAAAACAACAAGTGTTTCCTGAAAAGGCTTAACAGGGTGGTAGCAAAATTTCTTTACAGACATAGAAGGAGTGATCTACGAACCCTGATAAGACTTATTGCTGGGCACAACCCATGGAACAACATATGGTAACTATGGGTATCATTAAAACATTTTCATTTCCGCTTTCCGGCTTTTGTCAAACTTAGATGGTGCATTTTTGGATCGGATGTATTTGGAGTAGACGTAAAGGAGTAAAGGAGTCTGGTAAGTTTTGAACAATCTAAATCCTCTCTCTAGGTTTTAAGTACAACGGGCAATACTGCCTGAGTGCTAGGTTTTTCCAGTCCCCCATAACTGCTTTCCAATATAAAGCTCATACTTTTCCAGAATGTAATGGCCTTCGCCTCACTTCACATTTCATCATACCAGCACCGCTTGCTTCGTTGCGATTAAATTTCGGCCAAACTATGCTGGGTACCAGAGAACTGCGGATTCAAGAATATCGTTGGTTGGTCTTCTTTAAAACTCTTAACCACTGAAAGAGTGAACTCAAATCGCATTGAGTAATGGGAAGTGGTATGAGGTTTTAGATAGGCTAAGCTCTTCGGTTATCTCAAATCAGCTGTAAGATTTAAGTTAACTCACTAGATATCTACACGGTCAAATGAAGAATCAATGCTGTGTTTGAAGGCAACGAATAGAAAATTTTAACTAGAAGTACATTGCTAAATTGAAACCATCTCTTTTTCATGTTATGTTCTGCCATCGTACATATTTAAATTGTGTTTAAAATTTCGCACTGTATCAATTTTGGGCAGTTATCGTGGATTTTAAAGAGCTGAGAACGTTTATGGTATAAATGTCAAACTTTCTATCGGAAGCAATTGATCTCCTCTGGCAACACTTAGCTTACTAATTTCCTATATCATACGAAAAAGAAAATAAAGCTGTTTCACATAGATAACGTAATTGATAAATAAAAAAAAAGCTTAACGTCGCGATATCACACGTCGGCAACAAGATGCATTCAAACGCCATGATCACATGTTTGTTTTTGCACGGTACCAAAAAGCTCAAGTCATTCTCTTTATTTGTAAGTTCGCTATTTTATATATGTACTGTATATACAAAGTTAGCTTTTATTTCCATATACGTAAGCATCAATAATTTGTTTACAAACAAATGAAATGATAAAAACAAGAAACTCGATAAAAATATTGACAACGGAAAAAAAACAGTGTACATATGTATGTATGCTTCTACTTATCAGCGGTTCCCCGGCAGAACCGAATAAGTCCGATTTTTTTCGAAACTAAAATTTTAGTGGACGCAACCTAGAATTTTGTAAATGGAATAAATTTCTTAACGATTATGCCAGGGATTTTTATAAATGGTACCCAGTTTTACTCGGAATGAGAACACTCTTCACGAAGAATAACTAAATCAGAATATCTTTTTTTATATTTGGCAAAAAATGTTGTAGAATTTGAAAAAATAATAAAAATTGGTGCGAATTTCAGATTCATTCTATAATTTTTCCACATATTTACAATGTGGTCACAGAATTTAATATTTAAATAGTACAAATATTCTTATTTCCAAAGCCATATAAAAACCTAAAATTGGGTAAAAAATTACAGAGCAAAACATTTTTTAGTGCGGAAAGTCATGTAAAAATGTTTTTTTTTTTTTTAAGAATAAGTCAGGAATTTGAGGATGTTATAAAAATTTTAAAAACAGTTTCGTAAATTACGCGACCAGCCTAACGACCAATACTAAAGCACTTAAAGGCTCATAATTAGTGTAACACCGTGTAATTTTTCAAACGTTTTTAATCTTTTAACGCATTTCATGTTAAATATTCCGTTTGCTTTGGCGCTATCCTGAAAGAAAAAGTCTGCCAGGAAAATGTTGTCCAAGTAAAGAAGTGCTCAAATCTTGGAAGGGACGTGGATCCCTTTGCAACTCAGCTCGTTTCGGATGATTGCACTCCATTTCGCTTGGCCGATATCCGAGTGAGAAAATAATACCTTAACAGGCTAACCTAATATTCGCGGCTTGCGTTTTGGTACGCACGCCGTCGAATTTGTTTTTTTGCGTCACCCGAAATTGGCTTGCGTGCGTTTGTATTTGAGTTCATTGAGCGAAACGTCAAATCAAAATGTCACGCAGAACAAAAATTGGAAATTGAGTTAGCTTCATACGCGCGCCGTTCAATTTCGGTTGGTCCCTTACAAGTTGTATGTGCATGAGAAATTTTTGACAGTAAATTGGCGGCGTGCGTGAATATTAGGTTAGCCTGTAAATGCGTAGAAACATTTATCAAATATTTTGCGGAGTAAAAATGCCGAGCACATTGCAAAATTATAGAAAAATATCCGTCAAATAAAGATGATGTTTCAGGTCTAATAAATAAAGAATCATTGTGGAAAAAAATTGCGTGATAGATAGATGACGGTTAGCAAGGTTTGGAGCGGCCATGTGAGATAGGGCCTGTGAGTCTCGATTCGAATGATTTCTCGAAAATCATACGTTCACACTTGCTTGGTTCTGCAAGGAAACCACCTATGTATCGTTAGCAAAAGCTCGTCGAGCAACTTTTTGGCGGCTTTTGCATATCTATATATGTATGTATGTACGTATTCAAAAGCAAATATACGAGTGGGCTTGCGCTTTGTACTAAATATACTAAATATATGAATATTTTATTAATTATTTTACAAAGCAACACACTCTGAGCGCAAGTGGCAGTCAACTATTAGTTCATTAGGTCGAAGCATTTGGAGCTGGCATATGCGTTCGCTGTGAACGGTCTTTGTTTGGTGTTAATTATTTTCAATTAAATTTGTTTAAATTGAAGAGAATGGCAACTACAAATATGTTATCAAGACACCTAATTCGAAGTGACCAAATTAATTGGCGTTTTTTGGGCATTACAAAGGCACAGGCGTATGCGACACAAGCAGCACCGAAGGTAAGTACACAAGAATGTACCTATGTACATATGTATGTAGGTGTGAATGCATTCGCTGTGCTTTCAGTTTCGAAAACTTATTTTTTCTTTATCTCGATTGCTCTGTCTTCTGTTAAGCCAAGTGATGCAGCTGACGTCAGCGTAGAAAATGCACGGCCATACTCAGAAGTTCCGGGACCAAGTAAACTGGAGCTAATATGGTTATTTTTGCCCGGAGGTGAGAACGCAATATTTTAATTTTATTTGAAAATAAATTTCCACGTATAAATGCATTATACGAATGTAAGTACATTAGGTGGTCGCTGTGGTGTAGTGCTTAGTAGTGCGCGCTACCATTCCGCAGAACAAGGGTTCAACCCCGGTTAAAACCAACATCAAAAATAAAAAACAAAAAAGTTTTTTTCTAAGAGCAAACCTTCGACTGTATTCTGCCATGAAAAATAGCTTCTCATAAAAATACAATCGCCGTTCAGAGAGGGCGTAAAACTGAAAAACCCTTTCCTTTGTGTGACAACATCAAGGCGCAAGCCGCAAATCGGAGAAGAAGCTCGGCCAAACACTAATATATGTGTAAGCGGCAATCTATTATATTATTATTATTTTATGTTTTAGGGTGGTGCAAAATATTGTTTTAGCAGACAACCTCTCCCCGCCCCTAACTGAGTAATTACGAAAATAAGGAAGCCCTATTTTTGATTTTGAAATCGATTAACATATTTTTTAAAATAATTATATTTATTTGATCAAAAAAAATTTATTTTTAACGATTTTACATAGCAACTCTACGAGACATTGTAAGTTTGCTATTTAGAGTAACTATTTAATTTAAGCACTTACTTAAACTTAGCCAAAACTATAGGAGATAATTTTATTTGCTTTAACCTCCTTTGAAATATTTTCAAACTAAAACTTGTTTATACCTCTGTCTTTTGACACATTTTCAATTAAATTGTTCCCACAATTCAAGCCCAATTAGAAGTTTCCAATAGATGGAAAACATTTATTTTCAAAACCATTTTGATATATGAATATGAGTATCAATTCATTCATTCAAATTATTATATATTTTGAATAAAACTTTTTAAGTAGGTGGCAACCTTTTTAAACCTCTTTCGTCTGACACCCATTTTGTGGCATATACATATGTACATATATATTTGAGTTACCTAACTCCTATAATTCAAGTGCAATTGATCTTTCAAACAGGTGGCAACTCTTCTTCATTTTATAATCCTACTAGAAATAAAGCCTTTTCAAGAGTTCAAAAAATTCGACATGTACAAACACGATTTTGTGTTTTAAACTTTAACTTCTGTGTAATTTAATTTAAATATGGCTTTACAAACAGGTGGCAACCCTTTTAAAATATTTTCAATCTATAAACTTTTAAAATTATTTCGTCTGACACCCATCTAATATATAAAAATCTCGTGTCACGGTGTTAGTGGTCGAACTCCTCCGAAACGGCTGGACCGATCTTTATGAAATTTTTTGTGTATATTTGGTAGGTATGAGAATCGGATGTAAAGTATATTTCATATCGCTAGGTTCAGGGGGCGTGGCACCTCCCATACAAACCGAATATTTCATACTGCATATCTCTGGA